TCTCTCTCTCTCTCTCTCTCTCTCTCTCTCTCTCTCTCTCTCTCTCTCCCTCTCCCCCCCTCTCTCTCTTATTTTGAAATACACAGTCACCTAGACAACCCCATGCAAAATCCAACATCGGCGCGAATAAACAGATTGCTGTTCTCTTTTATTTTCCCCCCAAGTTTTGTTCATCCACACATTGAGGTCCTTCTGCCTTCAAGTTTGGCTCGGGGGTCTCCAGTGAAAGGGGAAAAAAAAATTGGCGGGCAATTTATTTGGGGCTGTTAAAAAAAAAAAAAGGGCCCGTTTTGTGTCTGCGTTTTCAAGAGGGACCTTTCGATTCCCTCTGAGGATGTTTTTTTGAAATACCGCTTGGGATGCTGTGCCGGCTTCCAAGTGCCGCATCAAAACTTTTGACAGTTTTCTCTCTCTCTCTCTCTCTCTCTCTCTCTCTCTCTCTCTCTCTCTCTCTCTCTCTCTCTCTCTCTCTCTCTCTCTCTCTCTCTCTCTCTCTCTCTCTCTCTCTCTCTCTCTCGTGGGAATTGTTAGAGGTTTTATTTTCCCCGCTGAAAGAGAAGGAAGAAGAGCCGAAGTGTTTTTCCTTCTGGTTAGGTAAAATTTGATAGTTAGGAGAATATTTATATTTCTATGGATCTTTTTTTCTAGCTTTTTCTTTGCATCCTGCCTTTAGTATTTTTACCTTAGTATTTTTACTAAAGGCAGCGAACGTATTCAACAGACCTTCCTCTTCCCATTTTCCCCACGATAACATCCCTGAGAGGTAGGTTGGGCTGAAAGGAAGGCACTAGCTCAAAGTCACCCAGCTGGTTTTCATGCCTAAGGCAGGACTAGAACTCACCATCTCCTGGTGATTGGGCCAAAGTCACCCAGCCAGCTTTCATGCCTAAGGCAGGACTAGAACTCACCGTCTCCTGGTGATTGGCTGTATGAGAATTGGTTGGGTCAATCACATGACCTGGGGACACTACTACAACGGTCGTAAATACATACTGGTTGTCAAGCTCCCAAATTTTGATAACGTGACTGTGAGGATGCTGTAACAATTGCAAGGGCAAGAACCAGTTGTAAATTCTTTTTTTGTTCAGTGCCGTTGTAAATACAAATGGTTGTTAAGTGGACAATTGCCTTTAGAACTTGGCAATAGCACTTAGATTTATATACCGCTTCACAGTGCTTTACAGCCCTCTCTAAGGGGTTTACAAAGGTCAGCCTATTGCCCCCAGTAATCTGGGTCATCATTTTGCCAAACTTGAAAGGGTGGAAGGCTGAGTCAATCTTATCAATCAATTGGAACAAATTTGGAAGGGACCTTGGAGGTCTTCTAGTCGAACTCAGGCAGGAGACCCTAAAGTTTCAGAACAAATGGCTGTCCAATCTCTCCTTAAACACCTCCAGTGATGAAGCACCCACAACATCTGGAGGCAAGCCCTTCCACTGATTAATTGTTCTCTTTGTCAGGAAATTCCTCCTTAATTCCAGGTTTCCTCACTCCTTGATTAGTTTCCATCCCTTGTTTCTTGTCTTGCCTTCAGTTGTTCAATCCTGGCCTTGATCCCATCAGGATTGAATTCCTGGCAGAATTAGCCTGCAATTAGCCTGCATTCTGCACCACTCATGCACGGCTCTTTCGTGAGTGTTCTCTCCCTGAAGGTTTTCAAGAAGAGATTGTCCAGAACGGTCTAGACTCTAGGGTCTCCTGCTTGTGCAGCAGGGGTTGGACTAGAAGATCTCCAAGGTCCCTTTCCAGCCCTATAAATTCTACGTTCCATCTTCCTTCTCCTGTAGGACGTTTTTACTGCCGGTAGGTGGTGCTAAATAATCGATAAAACCGCTCCACCAGGCCAGTTTTCCTGTGATTGCTGATGTTGTGTTTATTACCGGCACACATCACAGGGCAGCGCATTAAAGCAAGCTGCCTGGCAAAAGCCGCAGTTGGTTGGATTCAAAAGCCGGAAAAAAAAACAGCAGTGGTGTTAAGAAAATAACGATGGCCTTAGTTATCTCCCGCGCTTATTACGTTGACCACAGTTTGAAGCTTTCTGAACTTTGGTTTCCAGTAGAGACCGTGGTTTGCTTGCAGCCCCCGTCAAGCGGTCTCCCAGACACAGGGGTGGCTTCAGAAGTGCTCTTCAAAGCTGGAATCTTCCAGACGTCTCAGCTCAAGGAAGAAGAAAAAAAAGAGAAGAAAAGAAAGAAAGAAATAAGAGAAAGCCACCCACGGAGAGACCAAAAATGCAGGGATGTGTGTGTGTGTGTGTGGAAATCAGTTTGGAAAAAGCACAAAGGAAAATGACTCTTGTAGGCTGAAGCAAACTCATCACGTTCATTTAGGGTGGAAGGATTCTTCCAAGAGGGCTTCATGAAAGGGTTAGAAAAGGCGTCCCCTTGAGACCATCACAAGTGGGAAGATGTTCTGGACTCCGGTCCTCAGGGCTTCCACTCTCTGTCTCTCTCTCTCAACAGAAAGAGGCCGTGGGCAACGATCTTGACCTCTCGTAACCTCGCCAGTTTGAAATTATGACTTGGTCCTTGTTGTTTTTTTAATGGCTTGTAAAGAGGCCGATTTATCACACGTTCTAAAGATGACCCATTGCCCTCAGGACAGATGTAGCCCGAAGCGAATTAAAATGAAAATTAGTTCTGGATCTTTTTTTTTTAAAAGGCTGGTATGCTTAAGAAGAAATAAAAGACATTTCCTGCAGATTTCCAATGCCCGGAATTGTTTGCTTTGGGCTGAGGGTTACGTGTGAATCTGGTGACTGATCCCCAACGCCATTGTTAAGGAAAACAAAACAAAACAATTCGGAGAGAACAAACCATAGCAGAACAAAACAAAACAGAACCCAATAGAGACAAAACAAAACAATTCAGAGCAGAACAAAACAAAACACAAAACAGAAGGAAAAAAAACATGGATGTGTGAAGATTGAGCAGCACAACATTTTGTTACTGATGGCTGTTAGGGGTTTGTTAATCAACCCAAGATGTTTTTAGATAGATAGTCCTCGACTCACATTTATTTAGTGACTGTTCAAAGTTGCAACCAAACAAACAAATGGGACTTGCAACTGGTCCTCACACTTATGACCGTTGCAGCATCCCCTGTGTATTTTCTTTGGATTCTTGACAAAGGATGCTAGATAAGATCTGAAGAAGAGTGCAACAAACAACGAATGGAAAAAAATTCGGTCACATTCAGCACCCTGGAGAGCTCCTTCAATAGGAGATGTTGCTCCAGCAAAGAGCCCAGTCTAATTCTTGGCTCATTTCCCCTGCTGGATGGATTCCTGCCTTCCCACTTTACCCAGGTTGGCTTCATCCAGATGTACTGAAGCTACAACAGCCAGGAGTCCCAGCTCATTTTTGGGAAGGAACCTCCCGTAACCAAGAGGCCCTATCCTCATCGTCTACTTCCCAACGTGTCTCACGAAAGAAAGAACTCTTCCAAACTTTGTGGTCAGCGGGAAGACAGGTGGGTTTTCCCCCCCTGAGGATTCCAATAACATTAAACGAACCTGACCTTTGTGGAATAACCAGATGTTCTGCTCTTGCGCTTTGCTGAATTTAGAGATGACACACCAGCCAGTAGAAGTACCCCTTGGCAGTCGGCTGGTAATCAGGGCAAGATGTTAACTGTCAAACCCTGAGTTCAACCCTCAGGCATCTGAATTAATGATGGAAGGATTTAGACCTACTGGGAGAAGGAGAGGGGAACATATCTAAGAGGAGGAGAAAAACTAAGTGGGCCAAGGGATCAAAGAACCCTCCGACTTTCAGCACCAAGGAATGGACAGCTCCTCCCAGACTTGTCCCAAGAAGACCATCCCAGGGCTCATGAATATCAAGGATTTATAGATTTAGAAGCTAGGTAAATACATGTCAAAAGCACCTCCATCTTTATAGAAAGCGAAGATATCGAACAAAAAGCTTCAAATCGGACCGGTGCGAAGGGAGCATCGGCGGGGCTGGTGGTTTGCTCCAGTTCTCATCTCTGCTTTCGGCTCGCGGCGTCGACCTGTTTTGAAGTTCGTTACAGATCCATCCGTTCGGCCTTCAGATAGTGAGAGCGACGAGAGGCTCTCCTGTTAAAACAACAACAACAACAACAAGATGCCGTTTGGGAAGCTGGGAAGCTGTTTTAGATTCACTTAGGAACGACCAACGTGCTTTGGGCAACGCTGCCCACCTCTGATGGTGCACCCAGACAAGGAGAGGGAGGAGTGGATAGGAGAGAAGCATAATTGAACAGACCCAGCTAGTCAGCTTTCAGTTTTCCTTAATTCCCCCCCCCTCCCTTTTTTTTAAGGCCAGGGTTTCTAGTCCGTAGTATCCTCTTACAGGCTGGGAACTGCCAAAAACTGAGCAGGCGAGAGAGGCTAAAACGTGCGCACGTTTTGGATAAAAAAAAAAAAGAAACCAGCAGCGTGACAATTTGGGCCCGTCCTGATCCCTCGAAAGCCTGGCAGTTGACAACTTCATCTGACCGCTCCAAGCTTCAGCTCCTCACCCTAGTTGTTCGCTTGAGGCCAAGCGAGGCAGGAGAAGGTGTTTTGTTTACCCTTGTGGCAACGACACTCTTTCGTGGCCAGCCGGGTGTTGCTGACAACCTCACGGATGCCTCTTATGAACAAAGAGGCCGTTGGCTGCGCCTGCCTCCTTTCGTTTTGAGCAGCAGAAACGGAAATCGGGCAGTTTTCTGCCTGCTTTGCGAGCCGTGCTGTTCGTTCTCCTCAAGGGCAGCTTGTATTTTGTTTATTCACAGAATATCAAGAGTTGGGAAGGAACTCAGAGGTCTTCTAGTCCAACCCCCTGCTTGACCAGGAAACCCGGTACCATTTCAGACAACCTCTTCTTAAAAACCTCCAGCAGTGAAGCAGCCACAACTTCTGGAGGCAGGTTGTTCTGCCGATTGATGGTTCTCACCGACAGGAAATTCCTCCTTAGTTCTAGGTTGCTTCTCTCCTTGATTGGTTTCCATCTGTTGCTTCTTCTCCTGCCCTCTGATGCTTTGGAGAAGAGCTTGACCCCTCCTCTTCTCTGTTATAGCCCCTCAAATAGTAGAAGGCTGCTATCATGTCACCCCAATCCTTCTCTTTGTTAGACTAGACATAACTTGTTCCGTCAATCACTGATCAAACACATCCAGTCCCCTAATCATCTTTGTTGCTCTTCTATGCACTTATTTTATTAAGGAAAGTTATACGGCCAGCCAGTTCATTGTTGGTGACTCTGGGTAGCTTACAAGTATAAAACCCCAATAAAAAAAGACCACCGGCCTGGTGACAACAATGAGATCAGCTGCTTGATGGGCTCCATTTGACTCAATTGTGATAAACCGTATCTGTACAGGGTCCCCTGCTCGGGGTCCCTTCCAACCTATTATTCTATGTTGTATGCCTATGTTCTTGATCCTGCTAAATCAGGGGTCTTCAAACTTGGCCCTTTTATGACTTGTGGACTTCAGCTCCCAAGTTGCTGGCTGAGGAATTCTGGGAGTTGAAGTCCACAAGTCATAAAAAGGGGCAAGTTTGAAGACCCCTGTGCTAGATAGACGTCCTTAGGAGAGAGGATCTGGAGTGTTCCCCACCTCCCCATTCCGAGGGGTTTCTTTCGAACCGTGAAAGGCTATCATGGAATATGGGTCTTGAAGGCTCCATGTTACCTCTCTGTTACCTGTCTGCCAATCCCGAACTGTAGAGGAACAATGGGTAGGAAAAGGGAGCATGTTGGTCTCATCCCAAAGAACTACCCTTACATTCCAAATCAGTGCATTTGTGTGTGATACTAAGGTGTTAAATTAGGACTGAAGCATCCCTTGCTTTGTTGATGTTGTTTGCTTCGGTTCCTGTTGTCAGTTGACAGCAGACCTTATCAAATCTCTTTCCTTTTTCCTCCTCTAGTGCCAGACAAGATTGTCATCAAACTCCTGTCCAAACGGATCAACAGACTGGATTGCTACATTCGAGGTTGGGTCCTGCACGGTTTCCCAAAAGATGAAGATCAAGCCAAACGTATGCCGGGTGCCGGGATTTATCCGAACAGGTGATGGATTTCTTTCCTTCTACATCTGGAGGATCACAGCCTCAGTTCCTGCAACTGGCCGGCTGGCTAATCTTTCCTTCATAGAAAAGTGGCCTCTGAGCTGGGTGGTTTTCTTGCAGACGTTTCTTCACCCAACTAGGTAACCTCATCAGTGTTAGAAGGGAGTGAGATTTACGGAGAAGAGGTGGAAGAAGAGGACTGTGGGGTCCTTGATGCTCTCTGAGCTTGGTGGTTTTCTTGCAGACGCTTCTTCACCCAACTAGGTAACATCGTCAGTGTTAGAAGAGAGTGGGAGGAGGAGGAGGAGGAGGAGGAGGAGGAGGAGGAGGAGGAGGAGGAGGAGAGGACAACGATTGTGGTGTGCTTAGTGCTCTCTGAGCTTGGTTGTTTTCTTGCAGACATTTCTTCACCCAACTAGGTAACATCATCAGCCTTAGAGGAGAGTTGGTTTGGCCTCATTGTATATACAAGTTGCTTGCTCTGTCAGTGTTGGTGGGAGTATTCTTGGTAGTTCCTTCGATTTAGGCTGTTGTTTACTATTGTCTGATTTAGTAGTTTCTTTATTGGGATATTGCTTACTTCTTGATTGTCGGTCTTGCATTAATCTCTGCTTATCTGGGTATTTATTGCTGATGAGAAAGTGGTCCAGTCTCTTTGTCTCCTTTTTGGTGCTTCGATTGTCTCTTTTGAATGTTGTGTAGACAAACAACATCTACCTGTGCTTCTTTAAGGGCCAGATCTGCCCTTCAAGAGAACGGGGGTAAGAGATACCAGCCCTTCCGCGAAAAGGAGGCGGGAAAGGAACCATTTGTAAAATCACACGTAGCTACTCTCGGTGGAAGCCGGGGCTGTAAATCACTTGCTTCTGAGACAGGTTACAAAACACTCAACCTGCAGCGAAGCATGTTTCTAACACCAAGAGGAAGGAGAGAGAGAGAGAGAGAGACAGAAAAAAAAAGATCCTCTTGAAATAGAATTAGTGCTAAGGAATCAATCCAGGAACAGAAGCAGACAGGTATATATCAAACCCAGTTGCAACTCTGCCTCTTGCTCATTTTTAGGGCAGCCCGGGTGGCTGAAATTAGATTAAAATAAATTTACATAGATATCAAAGTTCATGAAAGCCCCCCTCACATCCCTAAACAAAGTTATTGGTGGAAAGGCCAGTTTATTCTGCCTTGGGATCCGCAGCTCGACCTCTCTGGTTGATCAAAAAAAACAAAAAACCACAACAACAAGCAGAATTACTGTCGGGACCTCAACCCTTACGTCTGTTTCTTAGAAGTAATAAATGCCTCCCCCCCTCTTCAGATCCTGTGTTTTATCTGACTTCCATCTCATAAACCTGCCTCAAATACTACTAAATTATATAGCAGGGAACTGCATCAGTCTCTGGGCTCTTTCAATTTATGGAAAGAAAGACGAAAAGCAGCCGATAATTGATAGCCGAGAAGAATGGGGGGGGTAAAAAAAATCAAGTTATTTGAGTGAAGTGGGCGAGAGAAATTCCTCCCAACCAGAAGAAACAAATTGGGCTATAAAATTTCTTAATATGTAATCATAAAACCAGGCAGAAAGAGCAGGAGACCCCCCTCTTCGCTTCCCCGTCCTGGCATCCGGCAATCTGCCTCAGGCGAAGAAAAGAATAATTTATTTCCCGTTGCTTCAGAAAAAAAGGGTTAGATTCGGCCCGGGTCAACAGAGCAAGGCAGAAATGCTGGAAGCCTCGTGGAAAAGTTGCATTTTTGTTTCCCCCGCCGGTTTCTCCTGGCACCAAATTAGCCGGCGGAATTCACCGCCGCTGGGATGAGGTCAGCGTTCTGCCTAAAGGGCTGTTTTTCTTCTTAAAACAAAGACTTAGTCAAAATTAGGGCCGGCGCCAAACGGGACGGTCAATTTCGAACCCTTCTACGAGGGTTCAAAACTTTTTGTCGCCAAGCAAGGCGGNTGGTGACTTTTCAGATGTCTGGACTTCAACTCCCAGAATTCTCCAGCCCGTATTTGAAGTCCACCCATCTTCAAGCCGTCACGGTTGAGCAACGCTGCCCTATCTCATATATGTCCACGGTGGCTTAGTAAATCACAGAATCCCAGGGCTGGAAGGGACCAGACAAAGAATCAAGCAGAAAACAATGCCCTAATCAAGGGACTGCCAAGGGGAAAAACCACACTCCCACCAAGACTGGCAGGGCAAGCTATCGGGAGCGAACCCTCACTAGCACGGATGACATGACTTAGTTGGGTAATGAGACGTTTGCAAGACAGCAGCCAAGCTCAGAGTACTGTATATAAATAGAGAGCAAGCCACACTCCCTAGCACTGGTGGTGTTACCTAGCTGGGTTATGAAAGATCTGCAATTAAACAACCAAGTTCAGAGACGACCAAAAAAGCCCGCAGTCCCCCCCCCCCCATCCTCTCTGCAAACGCCACCCCTTTCTAGTACTGATGATGTTATCTAGTTGGGTCATGAAACATCTGCAAGAAAACAACCCAGCTCAGAGGCCATCAAGAACACCACACTCCTCCCCATCTCCTCTTCCTCCTCCTCCTCCTCCTCCTCCTCCTCCTCCTCCTCTCCACAAACTCCACTCCCTTCTAGCACTGATGATGTTATCTAGCTGGGTCGTGAAACATCTGCAAGAAAACAACCCAGCTCAGAGGCCATCAAGAACACCACACTCCTCCTCCTCCTCCTCCTCCTCCTCCTCTCCACAAACTCCACTCCCTTCTAGCACTGATGATGTTATCTAGCTGGGTCGTGAAACATCTGCAAGAAAACAAGCCAACTCAGAGAGCACCAAGGGCTCTGCAAAATGAGTATCCTTTCCCAGGCTACATTGGTAGGGATTTCCACATTTCCAGCCCCCTCACCACCCTTGCTACCACAGCTCCTAGCTGTGTGGGTCACACACACACCGCCTTTAGCAACGTCTCCTTCCCTTCCCCCCCTCCTCCCTTTCCACCTTGCTATAGATCTTGAGGGTTGTGTTGAGTTGTCAGTGTTTTGTCTATATTTGCTTTAACCCAGATGCCCTGCCTAGCCCGCGGTGGCCAGACGTAGTCCCCTCTCTCTCATCAACAATAATTAG